CCATTAGAAACAAAATTTAACTTTTGCAAATGAAATGAATTTAAGCAAATGGATTTCAGAATGCTTTGCTACAATTCAATTTAATGTCAGTTGTTTTATTCAACTTCCGAATAGACATTTCTCACTGACAGAAATAAATAAATCAAAGAGACCGCATCATAACTTTAGAAATATCTCTTTTTCAACCTTCTTCGACCTCGTTCCTGAGAATTTCGATGCCCACACTGAAGCTGTTGTGAAAAAGCATCTAATCTCAGGCGAATAAATCAACTTTTTAAATGTTCATTTAATGCACTTTGGGGATATCAAAAGGAATAGCAGCTATAACAGTCTCGAGGAGAGTAAAGCCATCATTAAATCCTTAATAAGGAAACTTTTGAGCGAATTCCTTCATTCCCAGATATTGTGCAATTATTGACTATATTGGTCTGCTGATATTCATTATTTTGCTTTTCATTGATGCTAAAATAAAAGATAATAATTTAAAATTTTCTAGCTGCTCTCTGTTAATATTTATCAGGCTTCGCAAGAACAAAGAAAATACAGTGCCAATTTCAATTACAGCAATTACACAAAGAATCGCCTAATTCATTTCAACTGTCTGCTTAATTAACATATATTGTAAAATTTGAAAAACAAAACTAATTTTAGTGACTGGAATGCTCCTTTCTTGCAATTGTACAAGCATGGCTTGTTCTTGTGCCGGTGTGAGAGAACCAAGATTGCTTTATCCTTGGCATTCATCCATTTTGTATGTCCTACTTTAAACGTGACAGTCAGCTGATTAAACTGTGAAATAAATTTAACTTTATGTTATACAGTGCTGAGTAAAACAAATTTCAAAAGAGAGAATTCCAGATTTTGGCATGAGAGAATGAAATAATTTCAAAATAATTAAAAAAGAAGTATTGACTGAAAATTAAAATTATTCTTTCTAACAAAACATTAATCAGGACGGTCTTAATTCTCTTTTCTGTAAGCAAAAATAGTTCAATGCTAAAAATTAGCGCATTCGTAGATGCAGTTGTAGCTACAAGTGTAACTGTAGCTGTAGCTGCAATTATGGCTGTAGCTGCGATTGTAGGTTGTAACTTAATTATGTTTGAAATATTTAAAATCCGACAACGCCATGCAGGATAAAGAATTAAAATGCAAAGAATTTAATTTTCAAATTAGAATAATTTTCACTTCTTCGTTGATATTTGGCCTCATATTCCATTTGAGATAGCCATAGATCCGAACAAGAGCAAAACGTGCCGTTAATGGCTAGTGAATCGTTGTGAGATTGAGTTAAAGGTAAACCTAGTGCCAGCTAAGATACCAGCTAGCAAACTGCTTAAGAGAAAGTGATGCTTAACAGACGCTTAAGCTTTCTTCTTCATTTGTGCGGAGATAAGATTTTCGATCAAATCAACTATCTAAAATTACAAAAATTTGAAATAACAATAGAAGCCACATTAATAGTAATTTAAGGACATTTGAAATCATCAAAGAATATGAAAACTTAAAAATTTCAGATTAGACTGCTCAATTATTCTTTTTTCTTACCTTTTATCCCACTGAATGGCGAAAGTTTGAAATTTCATCTGAAAATCTAATTACATTTCATTCGAAATAATCGAAATTTGCTTGTGCTAAAAGAATAAATCACAGAAAAACATCCATTCATTTGTCATCTTTAAGATCTTTTAATTGCTAATCATTCTTTATTGGATCAAATGAGATAAAATAGAATTTGAAGTATATTATCTATAACTGACCAGACTTAGTCAAAATCTGTATTTTTTACTCTTAGCCTTACTTATATTTCATGACCAGATGCAAATCTCCATAGGTATGGAAATGTTTGAATTTGAGAATACTATGGTAAATATTCGTAGCGGAAGTACACTGACTTCATATAATTGCAATGATGATATCGTCCAGCAGATGGCATATCTAACAACAGAATCATTATCCCAAATCTATTAGACTGTTTGTATTGCTCTTCCATTCTACGTTTGTATGAATTTGTGAAAAATGAAGGAAATAGTGAAATAGTCGATGATCTATGATTAACTATGCATTTTTATTTTTAATTTCGATATCAAATTTTATTCCTATGTTACGAATGTCGAAGATGGATGTGCAGAATTGAAATGAAGCAATTATCAACATATGATTGTTCTAATATAGCTAATTTGAATAATTAAACTTTGGCTAGATTGCCGCACTTGCTTGATCGCTTTCATCTTCTAATTATCTTATTTGTATTGATAAGAGATAATTTTCATTCCCTTACAATATGAATATTTATTCGTTTTTTCATGAATGAGTTCAAAGAATTTTATTTCATCGGTTTTAACATATTTTACAGAAATCAAAGATTAAACTTATCACATAGTTAGCGATTTAATCTGTTTATCAAATTTTGTTTGTCAATTTTATTCAACGGTTATTAATGTAAAAATAAAATTATGAAAAATGTAATAAGCAAATATTGGATTTATATTTTTTATTAATCACATAAAAGTATATTAATTTTATGAAAAATTTCATTTAATAAAAATTACTGAAAAAACATTCAAACGATTCAAACGAAAATTTATCACAAAAATCAGATATTATTCAAATTCATAAATATTTGCTCATTTTTCGTCTGTTTGAATATTGCATAATTACTCCAATTTAACGCATTTCAGGCCTAACTTTGTTCATTCCTCCAAAATTGCCTTAGTAATTTCATTGGTATGATTATTAAGAATACTATTACAAAATAATAGCTATAGTAATTAAGAGGTCTACCAAAAGTCACATTAAAATATTTAACTTTGTATCACAAAGGTCAATGCTTTTTAAACAATGTAACAATGAGTACTCCATCCGGACTGATTTTGGTTTCACTGCATTCCATCATTACATTGTCCGGTATCACGTAACGTCGTTCGAATTGTTTCTTTAAGTGAAAAATTTAAATTTTGAATAAAAATATTTTACTTATTTCTATAATATGCAATTAGTGAACCTCGATTTATTATATAGTTTAAGATGTTTTAATTTTTTGATGTTTCGAAATTTTAGAAAAGTCTTTTGTCTATTCTAATTAAGTAACTGAAATTGCTATAGTCTGTAAATTTGCATAATTATTACAAATTTACAAGCTAACACGATATATTTTATTTTCATTAATGTAAAAAATTGAATTACCGTGCCCTTATTGTCGACATGCAATGCGCCAATTTTAAGTTCGTTACCTTCGGTGTTAACCTAAAATTTTTATATAAAAATTTTAAAAGTGTCATAATATCTATGAATAAAATAAACAAATCAACATCTAATTAATTAGAAGTTAAATATGCCTTTGTTTATTCAAATAATTCAAATATTTTTTAATTTTTTTTGCGCTACTATTTTTAACAAAACATCAAATTTCCTCTAATAATTTTATGTAAACAAACTGTTATTTCATTTGGCGCAAAATTCTTTGCATCAATTGATACGGAAAATTTTTCTGCGTTATTGATTATCTAAAATACAATCAAATGATAAAATAAGTTTTCAATTATCAAATTTTTTTAGTTATCAAATTTTTTAATTATCAAATTTTTGGGATAATTAAACGATATAAAGTTAAAAAAATATGAAATTGAATTTAAGTGATTAAATATCTGCTAGACATTCAAGCAAATATTTGTTGAATATTTCAAAATTTGATAATTTTCTAGCAATTGTAAAATTCTTTTTGAATTTCACCTCACCCACTTGACTGCTGAGAAGGTCCTCATTTCTGAATCGTAAAATTCCGTAGGGTAAACAATTTGATGGACGCCAATGATCAGTGAATATTGTTGGTATTGAACCATAAGGTGGGCATATTCTCCGTGACATCCTTATCGTTCTTGTCCTCTGTTTCAGTTAAACAATATTTTAGATTTTATTGAAAAATTCAGGAAAAGATTTTTCTGTTTCACAACGATTTGCATGTAATTTACAAAGTTATTTATTACGGACATACGTGATACGTGAAAACTTTTGTGTAAACGGGCAAAGAAAAATGTGAGAAAAGTTAAGAAAGTATTTGTTTTTTGCATAAAATTTTCCACATATAGAAAATTAGAAAATCTGAATAGATAATGAGAGTGAAATGAGTGTGGGTACGTACGCTCTGTGACATTCTATCTTACTCTTTTAGCAACTCTAATTTCTCAACTTTCTATACTTAATTCACTTTTCATGGAATCATAGTAAATTTCAGGAAGTGTTTCTGCAAATGAAAGGTTAAATTTGGATCAGAGAGTATTCATTCAAAATAAGCTACGAAAGTAAGAAACCAATACTGCTTATTATTGCATACTAATTGTAATTGTTATTTATAGGATAAGAATTATTGATTGAAAGAAGAAAAATAAAAATCTCAGAAAGTAAATTTTCATCTTTTCCATCTTAAAAAGAATCGTTTACTTGTCTCTTTTATTTCTTTCTACTTTCTTCTATCGGTGGACAATAAAATAAGCAACTAAAAACTTTTAAAATTTATGAAAGAAATGGAAGAAAATGAATTTGTACAAATTTTGCTAATAACAAATCTAAGAAATAATTAGACAAGTTTTTAATTCTTTCCTAAATTATTAAATATCAGAAATTTACCAAAATACGCAGTAATCGAAACAGATAGAAGTAACTTTTAAAAGAGAACACAATTCGAATGCTTTGGAATTTCTTTATAATGCGGCGGCAATATATCTTATGATGATATATAGACTAAAATATATTTTTCATGTAAGAATCGGTAAGTTATAGGAAAACTTGATCTTACCAGCGGGGAGAGATAAAATTAACTTCAATTTGAAAGGGAATTAAAAGTGATTGAAATAAGTCGATATCTAAAATTCGGTTAGTTAGAGGAAAAGCAGGTTGTCTATCTGTGTTTCATTCATGCAATTCATTGATGATTACTAAAATGCGACCTTAATAAAGGATAAGTAATTAAATTATAAAACATTTTGCAAATTGGATTTAACCGGAAAATATATATCAAAACAATTATCGATGAATTTTCCATTTCACTTAATCAAATATATATTATTGAGAAAATAATTTAATTTGAATTTAATTATCAAAATATTCGAGTTTATATAATTGAATCAACAACAATAAAAAATCATATAATATTAGAGGGCGGCCAAAAATAATAGCTCTTTTTCTCTTTCTCCGTTTCCTTTCTGCCATTCTCGTCAGCAACAAAATATGAGCTTAAAATCCGGTTTTTCAAATTCAATACTGAATAATATTTACTCATATTCTCTTCTCATAGCATTCAAAAGAATTCATTAATCGATATTTAAATATATTCTCCGAATTGAACCTTATGGAAAACTGGAAATTTCAAATTTTGATAAGCTAATTTTCAACCTAAATATTATACCCCGCAATGAAGAAATACGACAAATGAAATGTTGAAATTGAAACATAACAAACTTTAAGTTAAATATTTAAGTGTAGTTGTACCCCTTTTAAACTCTTCAAAATATACTTTAAAAAAAAATCTTTCAGTTATGACAGTTTAAAATTTTGCAGCAGAGTTTTTAATTTATTGACTGATAACTTCAAATTAATTACATCAGTTGCAATTTATTTTCATTTTAAACAACAGAATTTACCATGTTTTCCATTTACAAATTAATCAATGTTTGCTTTATAAAACATTTAATCATACTATAATAACAATATCAGCAACATAATCGTAGTATCATTTTCCCATTGAAACAAATGAAATCCTAAAATCAAACAATATTTTGCTGAAAATTTTTCACAAATAAACACTTTTCCGTAGCGTCAGGAAACCCAATTTTTTTTTCGATAATTTTTAGAAAGTTTAATTAATAGATTTGCAAATGTAATAAAATTTCATGAAATAATTTGTAAGTTATTCATTACAAAAGCATAATGAAATTAATCAATAAAAATTTTAAATTAAATTTTTGAATGATAGATAGAATTGTTTAATTATCATAGAGATTGTGAATGATAGACAGAATATTTAATTATCATAGAGATTGCTGCCAGTCGGAACATCGTTTATTTCAAAACGTTTCCCAAAACGTATCATCATATCTGCTGCACTCGGTACACGTTTTGCAATGTACGCATCATTAACTGGCTAAAATTTTAATGAATAATTAAACTAATTGTAAAATTTTTGTTGTCTTTTAATACAAAATAAATTGTGCTTTATTTTTTTTGACGGATTTTGATAAAAATTATAGTAATTCATCTTAAAACAAATCATAAAAATGTCTTTTGAAAAAGTTTTAGTTTTTTTTAATTATAATTTAATAATAAAAAATAATTTCTTTTTATTGAAAGCATTCATTTCATTAATTAAAATTATATGAACTGAATTGTTTTAAAGAGATATTATTAAAATATTTTGCAACTTTTTATACAAAAATGGAATGAATTTCTAACATTCAAATAATATCTCAATGGTTCAATGCCACCTCGGAATAAAAATTGCCGTGCAAAATCGTTATCTGAAAATTATTATTAAGCCGGTTATTTCAAATATCTCATCAAATCAAATTAACATATTCATTTGGCGATATTTAAGCTTGTATATTTTTATTTAAGACAAAATAAAAACTTGATGATAAAATAGGATAAAGTGGTCAAATGGATTTAAAAGATGCCATGAAAAAGACACTTCCTTTATTGGTAATCGAAATTTGAAATTTATTAACTATCCGTTTGACAGTGAAGGACAAAACACTTACCCTGTAATCGTTTAGAATCAATGAAACAAAAATGGTTAACAATAAGCAATACTGCTGCGATTATTATTTTAGGCGCAGACATTATGAAATATTGCTGCCTGAAATTATTATATTGATAGTTCTAAAACAAAATAATAAATGAATGAGTACTGAAAATCTCTAATTTAGATTATTTGCATGTACGTTTGGAAGATTCAGAAACATTTCGAAGTTTACTATTTCTTATTCCTCAATGCTTATAATACAAGTTGATTTTATTGATTAAATAGATGAAGAATATAAATTATTGAAAAAAGAATTATGCATTCCTTTTTGACACTTAATCTGAATTGGTTAAATTCATGAAAAGAACAATCTAATCACTGATAAGAGTGGCATAAACTAAGTAGCAACTAACATTTAAATAAATAATAATTTAATTTAAAAGAAACCAATGTATAATTTTATTTGAAGGCTTAAAATGTTAAAACAAATTAATTATCAGATGCATCATTGTAGTAATTTATTGTGAATTCGTAATTATGCAATATATGATATTGAACAATAAACAGCAATCATGAATTCAAAACTTACTACTGGGATCAGTGGGTAAAAATAAAACTGCAAAAAATATTTCAAAGTTTCACCTCACTTTTATTCTAATTAGATCAGAAGATTTTAGGAGAGAATGTATTTGAACCTAATTCCTCCTCCTCAAATGAAATATAATAAACTGAGAAGTTAGAAAAAGTATTATTATATTTTCACATTGCTTTGTTGAGTTGGTGGAAAAACTTCTTCTTCAATAGTTACAATTTTACCTTCTAAAATTAATTCATTTATATTAATTCTATAAATTCTAAAAAAAAAAACAATAGAATGCTTTAGAATAAAAATTCTTTGTTGGTGAGAATTTTAGGCTTTAGTGAATGAGTAATAGAAGCAATTATTTTCTTCATTATATTGTATCATAATAGCTTATTGATAATTGCATAAAACAATTTGAATATGAAAGGTGTGATCAAAATGAAAATAAAAAGAATGATAAAAGGTGGAGATAGATGAATGTAATAGAAGATGCCTTAAAAAGGTAATGCATCCATCCATCGACACGTCTAAACTTTAATTGCAGTTTAGAAATTATTGCGATTTTTTTGCAATCATTGATTGCTATACCAATTTATCATTAAAAATTCTTGCAATTTCCATTTTTTAGGAATAACAATTATGACATCAACAAATAAAGATTTTACATTTTTTACATGCCTTAATGGGCCTATAAATCCATTCCTTTTTTTTGTTAAATTAAATTTGAATAGTTTAATTAATTAGAAAGATTACATTCTTAAAATTTCAATAAATTCAAATAATTCATTCAAAACAATTCCTAATATTTCTATTCTTTAGAGAATTGAAATCGTAAATACTAAAAAAGAAAAAATTATATATATGAAAATGAATGAAAAGAAAAAGAATATTTAATTTTCATTTAAAATATCATCGAATCGATTCTAAGATTGTCTATGTAATTAATGTTAATCCATTAATTATCATATAAAAAATATTTAGGAAGCTATGAATTATAGTATATCTCAAATGCATCAATTAAATAGTTCGAATAAATGAGTTCAAATTCGTTTGTCTATCATAGCTATTAGCCTATTAATACTTTTAGGATACTCTTTCCCTTTCAAATTTTCGACGTTTTGTTATTTCCTTCTTCTAATTTACGCAAACATAAATTATTTGCTTCTCATTAAATCAACTTTTCATTTATTGAAAAAATTTTTTAGCTGCAATTATTAGCATTGACGACAATTTAACAAACCATTTGTTTTAACCTTACGTAACAAAAAAGAATGTAACAATGAAACTAGTTAAATGAGTAATTTTCTGAGAAACAAAACATACAAGATGTTATTATGTAATACGACAATTAGCTGAATAAAGAATTTCATTAAATATTTAAAAAGCTACCTGTTTAAATTTCAAAGAAAATTGAATTCATCCTAAAATTAATTTTCAACAATAAAATAGTTGAAGAATTGATAATTATAAGTAAAGAAGAAGTTATCTTTCTGCTTCATTTAATAATTAATATGAAGAAATAAATTTATCAATCATTAAATTCTTCGTTATTGAAAAATTCATAGAACGAATGGATCAATTTTGCTTCATTGCATTAATGAATAATTTCTATTATTATATTTTACATTATCTATGAAATAATAAACGTTTATTTCTAATAAAAAGTTCAAAAAGAATGATAGCAAAATTTTGTGAAATTTTCTGACTTTAACTTACTTTTAGACTATAAGAGAAAAAGGAAACAAATAAATTGCTTTTCATTCAACTCATTCATTTCCTTCTAATTTACTGAAATGGCTGACAAGAAATGGGAACCGATTCTTAATCAGATAATTATCAAATTCTTTCAGCTATTTTATTCCTAAGCTTTTCACTTAAAATGCTTTTTAAAAAAGAAAAGGAACTATTTTTCAATTCATTCTGTTAAAATTTGCTTACAATGAATTAATTGAAATGAAATGAAATGTTGTGATATAAAATTATATTTCAAATGAAATAAAATGCTAATAAATTAGTTATATAAGAAATACATAATCATTGAACTGTAACATTTCTAATGCAATAATTACATGACATATATGAAAGATTTTGTAAAAAAAGCATTACAGAAGAGCGAACTGAAATTAAACCATTTTACAATCTGTCATCAGAAATCGTGCAATGATGGATGTTTTTAGTGATATAGTATGATATTAGCGATGACGATCGTGAGGGTATTTTAAAGCATTTGTAAAGCCGAAAAATAATGATAAACAATTCTTTATGGGAGCAAATTATTCGAATGGATCCTTCTGATGAGCGAAATGTGGAAAGAAAAAAACTGACAGATATATGGAAATATTGCAGCCTGCAAAGTGTCCTTTTCGTTAGAAAGAAAAAATGATATGAGGGAAAAATGAAATTAAAGATGAGGGATTTGGATATTATCAATTCAATATATCACAACAATCTTTGCTTTTGAATGCATAAATCATTAAATATAACTATTGTCAAAATATTCCATTTTTTTTTAATTGAAAAGAGAAAGCTGAATTTCTCTTTTCAAATCGCCAAATTAATTTTTATCATCGGGGAATTATTGAAATTAAAAATCAATACATCAAAATATTGATTTTGAGATACAAAATTTTGCATTGAAAGATGAAATGCAAATATTTTTGTAATTATAAAACCGAAAGGTTTAGTGAAGGACAAAAATGCGCATTGTGATATATTTTACAGAGAATAAGCGTAATAATTAAGTATATAATTCTATATTCAAGAAACGTTTGTTAAATTAATTTAAAAATCACTTTGCAATTTGTTATAATTATATATTCTATTGATAATACGTTGACTGATACATTAACGACTGAAAACTTTACAAAGTACATTTATCCAAGTACCGCAATTTCTCATTCCATACATTTCCAATTGATTCCTTCATATCCATCTATAATTTAACTACAATTTGAATAATAAGAGATTTTGCCTGATTGTTTAAAGAAAAAAAGAAAAACTAAAGTCAAATGATATATCGTTGATAAAAATTTCTCTTTCTCTACCTTAAAAATGATAGAAAAAGATTGAAATTTAAAATTCGAAATTTCTACTTATTAATTCATTCTTCGTCCTTAATTATTTCACACAACAAGCCAACTATTTTTTTCTCAGAAAAGATCGATTAATTTTATTTTGCTTTTAGGCAGAAATTATGTCAGACAATGAAAAGCCATTGAGAGGAGATGAAAGGGAAAAAATTTCTTCCATTGGTCAATATTATGCAAAATGAGGAAGCCAAAAATTCTGAGGTACTTTTATTTTAATTTTCTATTTCAACTTGTTAGAATCATTCAATCAATCGTTCCATTCTAAGTTTTCTAATCTTTACGGTACTTTGAATAATTAAGTAAAGTTGAAAGAAGAAATAATTAATTGTAAGAAAAGTTGTAATTTTTAAAAAACTTAGAAGCCTTTTAGACATCCATCCAAAGGGATATTGGGAATGAAATAACCTTAAATCCATTTATTGATTTCAGTTTCATTCCAATTCAATTTCTTAGTTCAACATTTCAAGAAAAAGCTAATATTAATAACTAAAACTGTGTTAAGGCTTTCTGCCGATTCATTTGAAAAGAATATATAATTAAAAGTTGAGGAAGATATATTGCGACGAGAAGTGAAGTGAAATTTGAACAAAATTAGTTAAAAATAAAAAAAGAATAAAAACATAGAGGCATTTGAAGTTATTGCTATGCATAAGTTTCAAGTGATGGACATGAAGGTGATATATCTGTCGCATACTAAATTTATTAACTGTCTCTTTTGATGAATAAAGTGTGATGTCAACAATCATCCTGTTCAGCTGTCAATTTGATCTTAGTTAAATAACCATTTTTTTGCATCAACAAATATTGTAGTTGATGTAAAATGAATCAATAAAAATCATAAATTACAAACACAGAGACCATCCATCGTATCAAGCTTTTTGTTGAAGACAAAAATTTATGAATGAACAACTTATAATCCAATTCTTTTTTTAACCTAAATCACTTTGAACTTTTCGTGAATCTTTTATAGAATTTATTTAGCCAAAATTTTAATCTACCTCTGTTAGATCAACAAGTTCAAAAACTATTGAATATTCATTTTTTTAATTTTAATTAAAATTAAAATTAAAATTAATTAACAAATGTAAGAAAATAGAAGTCCATAAGAAGAATGATATAAATATTCAACTTACTTCTTTTGTTTTATTTGTCGAATTGATTTTACTTTACAATGATTTTTATTTGTTCCATAATTAACTTCATCTGCATTTTAAAGAATGTATCAGTAACGGCTCATTATAATCATCTCTCTTTTGTTTTTTTGCGTATATTCACAAATTGGTTCTTTATTGCGGCAAATTTCCAACAAAAAAATGAAACTGATAAAAAATTGTATTAAAATTAATAAAAAGTTTTTATTTTTTGCCTTCTTGCAAACTTCAACATTATAATAAAATGAAAAGGAAAAGACAAAAATTCCTCGCAATGCTGCAAAGTAAAATTCAAAAGTTAAAAATAAAATTTTTATTGATATCCATTCAAAATGCATACTGACAAGATGAATTTTAATTGATAACAAAGAATTCCGACAGAGCCCTTAAATTCAGTACAGTAATTTAAATAAAGTTCCTTTTTTAAAAGTTAAATTCTTACCTTTAATATTACCGTAAGTTTGCAACTTTTCTTTTTGGAATAGAAATTTCCTTTTCTACACGAAGAAAACATAAAACAATATGACTGAAACACACACACACACACACACACACACACACACACACACACACACACACACACACACACACACACATAAACATATATCATAATTTACATTAAAAAGATTTTTATTAAATAGCAAAAAAGAAATAAAAATTGAGCGTAACATGAAGAAATAGACCAAAAATAGCTATCAAAAAAATGTGAACTTTGAACTATCCTAAAATTTATCATTCAAACTAACAATTATTTGAGAAATATCATTTTTGGCATTAAAATGGTATTAGAATACTTTTTTAATATATCGTTATTTTACTGATTATATAGCTAGAATATTGCCATTTTTGGACATCACTTAATGCTGCCAAAGCGAATTAAGATCAGAAATAAGAATTAAGATCAGATCAATTAAAATCCTATCTTTATATATCGTTTCTTTTTTTAATCGTAGCCAAAGATCACTAAACTCTTCATTTATTCACCCTTCAAACTTGACATCATCAACTGCGAACTACAGGATTGGTCCACTGATGACCTTTGCTTTTGTTTCTTGTCCTTCATTCGTCGATTCTAAAAATTCAATAATAATCGATACATATAAAAATGAAGTCATAGAAACAATAATGAAGCTAGATTGAAGGGCCTGAAAACCAATCAATAATAATTTTATTCCTTGGCATATCATTTTAGTAATATGATTGGTAGAAATTTTTTCAAGAAATTAATACAGTATTTATTGATGCCATTATATCGCTGCCTAAAACCATTCTGTAACAGTAACAGAAATTCCAGAATCTAGATGAAAAATGAAAAGGAAGTGAAAAATTCGAAACTTTTACCTGAAACCAAATTTTAACTTGCCTCTCGGATAGGTACAAATTTTTCGCTAACTCGTATCGTTTTTGTTTGCTAACATAAGTGTTGTAAAGGAATTCTTTCTCCAGTTCCAAAGTTTGATATTTAGTGTATGGTTTCCTTTTTTTCCTTGACGATATGTTTCCAGTCCAATCCAACGTTGCATCTACAAAAATTCGTCATTCTTTTTCATAATACAAGAAATCATTCAATCGTCAATGATTCATTCAAATATCAAATGCTTTTAAGCTATTCTATTCCAAAATTTATCATTGATGAAATATTCAAAATTCAAAAAAATATGACAAATTAAAACAGAAATATGTATATTTTGGTTCGAGAAAAATTGAGCACAAAATATTTCACATCATTTAAGTCAAATTTAAATTTAGAATTTTCTAAAAACGCACTGTGAAATTCAAAAGCATATGCAACAAAAATTATGGTAAAGAAGTGCAATTTATACAGCGAGGTTATCATCGTATCCATTCTATTATTAATAATTGCTTGGTTTACAGCATAGGTCAACCCCAAGAAACCACTCATTAATCGACCCTAATTACCTCTACTTCCAATTTTATCGTCTGCAATTTAACCTTTACTGAAAGTTGAATATATTCTGAGCCATATCCAACTATATCGGACGATCAGATTAAGGCTATTTATGAGATGTACTGATAAAAGGGATCGCAATAAATGAAGATAATGTTAGAAACTGTCACTGATTATGAGTTTAAAAGTCTTTAGTGCTGAAATAATTTCGTTCAATTTTCAAACTATCCCTAAGGCTTTTTAAAATTATTTTTGCCTACAGGGATAGTAGCACCCACTTCATTTTAATCAACTATTTTTATTTTTTATTTAAAGGACTTTTCAATTTTTAAAATATTTTATTCGAAACCTATTTTCGCTTATTTTCAAAGTAATCTTTCATCATCTTCTCTTCCCTTTCATTAATTCAAATCTCATTAACTTGCCAGCAATATTATTCAGCAAATGTAATTTGTATAAGCGAAACTGACAGCTAATTTGTTACAATTTTCTAAAGGCAATCATAAAAAGCTGAAGTAACAGATGGATTCTACAACTGCACTCAAAGGAATAGAATGAAAAGTACAGCGTGAAATCCATACAATTCACTCTATGGCTTTTTATATTGGAACATGAATATATCACATACTACCGTATTCCTCGCATCATATAATTCTTTGTTTTTTGATGCTTTAAATTCTCGTTAAGCTATCTAAAATTAACTAGAATTCAATTTATGAGTAGTAAAATTTATGAGTAGTAAAAATGAACATACTAATTGCTTATTTCTTATTTAGGCTTCTTAGGATAGGCTTTAATATTTTGACTTTATGCTTTTTCATCTTTCAATTTGGCTGAATTTCTTTTTTCAGGCGACGCATCATGTGAAGATCAAATATAGTAATAATGATGTCTTTAAATTTGATCTTTTTCAATTTCAATTCCTAAATTTCTGTTGTCTTTTTTATTCAGCCATTTGAACTTCAATGATTTTATAAATGATCCAATTAAAATTATAATTAATTTCTTATTTAATTAAATAAGCTTTTCTCCAATTTACCACCTAAATAGACCGACTTTTGATTTTCATTGCTTTCTTCGTAAATAATAAATCAAATAAAAGAAAATTTCTCATTCTCCGAAAGATAATTCAACTATCTCAATTTAAAAATTTGTTAATTATTGTTCAATTAAATTGCAGAATTTCATTTATTCATAATTTTTCAATCTCTCTTTGATACTCTCAAATATTTCTCGCATCTTTTTTGCTGTGATGAGGAAGTGAAAGCAATATAGTTTGTTTGCCATGCAAATAAATCGATTTCCTTACGCAAACAACGATTTAGTTGATACTGAGGGAAACTACAGTATTCCAATTTTGAAGCATAGAGAGGAGCAAACATTTTATTTGAAAGGGGAAAATACTGAGCTTATAGAAGCCTTGAAAACGAAGAAAAGAAAGAGTACCGATGGTGTTACAGTAATTTTGGCTGCTAATCGTTGCACGAATCTGATTATTTGTGAATAGATAAAAAATCTGATATGCCTTTTGTATGGTCCGAAAGAATCTCAGCCGGTTGAGCCAGAAAATAGCAAAGGAAATAATATTTATCAAATGAGGACATCTGCAACGATTGGTAATAAAAAGGGACGAATCGAACGATGAGAAAGTATATTGCTTGATGATTTGATCAAAAGATGACAGAAATTTTCAAATTTTCATAAAAAACAATTGATAGGAAATTTTTTGAATTGACAAATATCAGCAATTCATTTAACCCTTTATTTGTCTATCCGAAATATAAGGAAGGTTGCAAAAATTGTATTAATTTTCGACATTTCATTTATCGGAAGAATACAAAATTTAGAAATAAATCTTATCGATTGATTTCTGAATTTAAGCTAATTAAAATTTCTTTCTCTGATAACAAGAGTTTGATGAAAAATTATTTGAAAGTTATAAATGAAATGAAACAACAAAAGCTAAAAAAATCAATAGTATTTATCACAATTAAATGATGGAGGATATTTACTACAGATGTGTAATAAACTTGTTTCAATAATCAGAGCACGGTGTCGGTGTTACGCAAAGAAGTCTTATCAGACATCAATATCTTGGATAGATGATGAATGAACTTTCGTTTCTTCACCTCCACATTGAAAAAAGCAACAATCCATATTCTTACTATTTACTTCCCTAACTACTGTATACAAAATGACAAGCGGCACACTTTTCAATCACAGAAATGATCTATGAATGCTAAGTTATAATTGGAATTATCTCTGAAGCGAATATCTCTTACTTTAAGATTATTATCAGGAGAAGTTTGTATGGAATAGATTAGTGATGGATAATTAAATTCTGTTGACAGTAATACTTCTCTTAAAATATTACCGCCTTTCACATCTATTTGTGTAGGCAAGTTATCTCTGTTTATTTATATCATCTAACTGCTTCTAGAAATATTTGATATCAATATTTGTAGCAGATGAAAAAGATTAAGACTCAAAACAAAATATTGCCTATTGCTTGCAAAATTTTCGAAGGAAAAACTATTGAAGTTATTTCAATATTTAAACCAATTGCTATGAAATTTTAATAATTTTAGAAATTCATTTAAACTGAAATATAGCATTATCACTTTATTATATCATTTTATCATTTACAAATATTATATTTTAAATTTCTTAAGAATTAGCACTGATTTGAAATATCAGCGTTTTCCTTCCATTCTGAGAAAAACATTTTCTTTCTGATCAATTCATATTCATACTCATTCAGGAAATTCATCAAATTTCTCCCCCAAACATGGTAACTATATCTAAATTTATTAACCTATAATATACCTTTTCCCAGGATGCGATTAGATATCATCAAAAGCCTATGCCGCAATATCGTTTCTGTTTCTGGAGACAGAAAAATGGCCAATTTTTATGGCCGTAAAAAATGTTTTGTTGTCCGATTTGAGGCTAAATAATGATGGCGGCAATTTTTATATTTATTTTACCAGCTCCAGAAAGGAAAGATTACAAGTCATCCTCAAAAATATGCATCTGAAAACAATTTAGGAAAGATCTAATCAAATATAAGAATATAAAATTTGTTGGAAAAGAAATTAAAAGGAAAAAAGAATCTAATCATTTTCGTGAAATTTAGATTTTTAAATTTTAAATTAAAAGTATTAAATTTTGAAAAAAAGATGTGCGAAAGCAATTTAAAACAAAATACGACATAAGCCAGAACCATTTTTCTTTTCGACTGTTTTTAAAGCTTTGCCAGTACAAACCATTTATGGATTAATATGGGGAAGAAGAGGGAATTGTGTATTCCAAGTTAGCCGATATACAAAGTTGATCAATACCTGCTTATTATGGTTTCTGAAAATCGAGAAACAACGGGATTTATTGGACAGTTGTGAATAGTACAAACTGAGCAAGCTATGTAAATATTATGAAAAAGAATTATTTTTGAAATTTGCAGAGTTTCAAGGCTTTGTCCACCTTTCCAACTCATATATCATATTACTATATATTCCCAAATTCATGATCCAATTTTCGGGACACAATTAGGGTATCTTCGTAACGAGCGTATTTGAAGCAGATGATACCAACAATATTAATAGCACAGAATACAATGGAAATATAAAATCGTTTACCCGAAGATGTCATAAAATAAGATTAAGGTCCGGTACCAAGATATTTTTTATGGATTCCTCTCATACCTTACATTTTGTTAACACCTGCATATGACACTGTATCATTACCTAAAGTTGAATGGCAGTAATATCTTGACCTTATACTACTCTTCCCCAAACTTCTTCTTTCTCCAGTTAATTCGCTCGTTATAGTGAAATTTTCATAAGCAATTTGAGTGAAATATTATTTGTAAATTACTTTCACATTAATAAGACTAAAAATTTCCAATGTTTTAATTTATTTGAAGCTAGCAGCGAGTTAGATTTGTCAAATTCATAGCATATAATTGCAAAATTTTTCGATAATCAAATAGAATTAAGCTAAATAATTTCTATGACTAAATCTTTCATAATTTTTTATTTACTTAAATAAATTTAGAAACAATAAATCTTCAAAAGTAAAGCTTACATTAGCTTTCCCCTTTTTGCCTTTTCAACACCTTATCTTCCCATGATTCAATTCGATGCCCATATGTAGAAATTATTAAGAATAGAAAAGAGTGAAGTTGGAGAAGTTTAAATTTTCACAAAAGATAATGAGGACAATAAAGTTTCAGTAGCTATGTTTTGAGGGCTACATCAAAGCAGTGGCGCTTATATTACCCGTATCTTATTTCCATTTGCATCAGACATCTGGATATATCGAATAACTTTGAGCTTCTGTATCATTCATTTATGGTTTAATGTTCTTTTAAATACGGTTAGTCAACTTGTGAAAAAAAGCGCACTGATTTATGAAATTTAATTTGGAAAAAATAAGGAAATAAATATGTTGAATTATTTCATCTCACCGAACTACAAAACATTTCCTTTTCTCTCTATTGACAACCAATAAATTGCTTTATTTGAAGTACTAATTATTCCGACGTTGAATGAAATCGATAATAATTATAGTGCGACGATTTTGGCAATTCAATGTTATTAATTTAATGAATAAATTTTGAAATCGTAATCAATTCGCTAAACTTTGTTATCAAAAAGTAATAAGGATTTTTTCATTCTTTGCCACATTCGCATAAGTTTATCACCGTGAAGAATCATTTAGCAATGTTTCGTTTTCGTTTTACGCTTACTAATATAAAAAGTATGCAATAACTATAGTTAACAATAGAACCGTAAAAATAGATCGCCATTTCAATTCATTGCATTGATGTCACAAATATTAAATGTGAATTGCGGTAAGATACAATTTGAGGATAGTTAAGCCATTCATAGCATTATCATTGATGTCGGATTGCTTGTTGAAGAAATAAGTATTGGTAGTAGTAATTACGATGTGATACGTGGTATTATTATTGATTTCAAATTTAAGAAATAATTTTTATTTATTGGTTTTGTTCGCAATTTGTTAAATTCTCAGCCCCCGCCTTAATTTCATCTTGTCATTCTTCTGCAAAGCAATCTATCTTCCGAAGTTGTGCGACTATACAATTTTGCTAAACTTATAACCAGTACTAACAGGAACGGTAACGACCCTTTGCGAGACAGTTAATCGCTCGACCGGTCGGCGACACCCATTACTATCCAATTTTTCATCATTTTCTTTCTATCCCTTACTCCTCCACTTCATTTAACATTCCCTTCAATGGATCTCTTATTCGAATTTCATTGAATAAATCATTAAAATTTCGTGTTCTTTTTCTCTTCTCTCTTTCTGTTGTATTTTTCAAATTTCTACCAAAGTTATTCAGATTTCTACGAATTTATTCTCAATGTAACGAGAAACTCTCTTAGTTGAAACTCTCTCTTCTCCGATAGAATTTCTTTATTATTTCATATATTTAACTTAAATTTTTTCCCTACTCTTTCTCTTTCTCTCTCTCTCTTCTCTCTCTTCCTTTCCACTACCCCGTTTCAGTTCTGAAATATTAATGTTATGTGGTGGGTGTTAATTAAACAGTATCATCGCATTATATTATTCTGTTCAATAATTTCCTCGTACAGAAGAAATGATTATCTAACAGTGAAAATGTTTATAAAGCAGTTTCATGCATTAATTTTTGGAATTAAGAAGAAATATTTTGTGTGCAAAAGAAGTTAATCTCATATCAGGCCTGATCAAGACTAAAATATTAGTCTGTTATAGCTTCATTATGAATGCATCTTGGGTGCTACCAAATAGAAATTAAGACTAACGTAATCAGACTTATTTGGATTACAAGCTAATTAATGAATTCCTTAGTTCGTAAATATTTTGGAGGAATTAAAGAAATGAAACTCGATGATATAATACGTCATTTTATAATTTAAATCACCGATTTAATTTTCTAACTGACGTTTTTGATGTGAGAAAGAAAGGTTTACAGCAAATGATGCAAAATTTAAAGAATATTAATATTCAGATATTATAATCTGGGCTAAATGGTTTTGACATATGCATTATGCGTTACATTATGAAGTCGCAAAGTAATTTTCCAACAAGTTTATACAAGGTAGGGTTCAATTGTAAATACCGTAATTGTCTGTGCTTAATAAGGAATCAAACTTTTGTAGCAAAAAATACAAATTGTAATTGTGGAATAAATGTTGAAAACAAAAAAGCAAACCTGCTAAGCCAGTCATATCAGCTACCATACTTCCTGGATATGGATGTGCACCAAAAGGATACTGTTGCGGATAACCGTAGGCCCATGTATGCCCGGTGGCTACAGCTGCTGCATGAGCTGCATGAAAATTAGACCCGTAAAAATCTGCTTGACACATTGGATTCATCATATCGAAACCTGAATGAAAGAAAAGCACTAATAAAACTTCTGTCGACTTGGTTGTCAGCATTAACAGTCAATTAATTCTCGAAATATATAAATGAAGAAGAGTAATGTCATTATTTCTTCAACAATAAGTTCAACAAATTTTATTCTACCTTTCTCTTTTTATAAAATGCAAATGGAAATTGGGAAATTGTGCTTATTGATTGTAAATTCAAAAATCTTGAGTAAAATCAAATTCAGAAATCAAAGTAAACTTACCGGTTGCAGTTGACGGTGAAAGAAAAGCAGCTTTGGCTACAGCATTTGGTGATGGTACCCCTGAAGAACCTAACGATGGCACACAGGATGATGCTGAAATTGATATTATAAAATGCATTCTAAAATTTGAACTTTCAACCAAATTAAAATTGATTTTGTAAAATGCAAAAATTTTGAATTTAGTTTTACCGGAAGCGGAAGAAACAGAAGCAACATTAGCCGCAACAGCAGCAGCCTGTTGTACCACAGCTTGTTGCGCAGAGAGATGTGCAGCTTGAGCAGCAGCGGCAGCTTGATGAGGAGATGTCCAGTCACAGCCATAAGGATAATGCTGGGAGTGTCCGGCATGAGCATGGTGCGTGCCGGGTATACTACTCATCACATTCATTACTTGCGAAGATGAACTGGAACGTTTTTTTTTAATTTAACAATTTAAGTTGCAAAATTCCAAAGAAATACATTATGCTGAAGAATGGCGCTTAAAAGCTTTATCCAATTTGGGTTGTTTGAATTAAGCACTGATATGATACCTTGTTGCAAGTGCGGGTGGGGTACCAGTCCTGTCGTTTTCGTTTGTCGCACTTGATACTGAAATACTTGAAGATGATGCGGCTGTTGCAGCAGCTATGGTTGCAACTGCAGCTACAGAAGCTGGCGTTGCAACGTAAGTAGTGGCAAATTTCTGATAAAACGGTTTGTCCATAAAACTTCCGGAGAAGCCGAACGATGCCGGATTGTTGATACCGTTCATCACAGAAATCATATCATTGGATAATATAAAAAACTATATTGCACACAGGGAGGTTGTTTATTCCTGGAATTTATAACCGAAATGAAAAATTAAATTTTGTGGAAAAAATCTATATTTACGTAAATTTAAGCACAATGGTATTGATTCCGATTGATTAATTAATTAATTTTTCAGCTCGATCAGATTTCTAGAAAATCAATTGATGTGTTAGCCAATATAATAAACCATTGTTTATTATGATGATACTGTAAATGTGAAATTGTTATCGTATCTTGTACTTAACTTTGAATTACTCTCACATCAAATTATCGTTTAAAATTTTTTTAGCATCTTCATAAGGACCGAATTTCCCCTTTTTTCTTTGATATTTCTGCAAAAAAAAATCCAGAAAGAAATGAAAATATTTTAATAGAAACAATGTTATGCCTATTTGTCGTTTTTCATTCTATCTCACTTCTTATTGGTTTAAAAAAAGACAAATGAAAAATTACAATGACAATGTTTTTAATTGAATATCAAATGACATATAGAGAAAACCGTATCATTTTAATGCAATAACAGAGCAGCGTAACTTGTACGATTTTCAGATAAAGTAATCAAATGTACCATCTAACTTTCTCTTTTTCCTCTCCTTTACATTTCAAAAGTTTTCTGGATAAAAATGTCGGAAGAAAAAATTGTTGCTTTAAATGCGAAATGTACATGTTTTGCTACATAAAGAAATTAGGCATCCGGAACAAGTCTTTTCCGCATCGTTGTGAGGGAAAGACAAACAATTGAAAGACACCTAACAGATTTCCGTAAGAGGTTTACGGAACTTTAAGATAAGGAACTGCTACAGTACTATTACCGAAACATAATTATTGTCTAAAAAATTATTTCAAAAGTGTTTATCATGGGCTTGCACGTATTTTCCTGATTACTGATCAGAATGCTAATCTTTCTTCCCGTTTGCATTAATTACAGTAACTTCACAGATTACTTTAATTTCAGAAATATTTCTTTTCGCATATTATTACCATCCCTACGTCATCAAGTTGTATCCAAATCAGAAGTAAAAAAGAAAAATGAACTAATTGCCAATTAGTTAGAAATGGTAAAATTACTGATATGAATTGAAATATTTTTTTCTTCCATACTTGAGAAAACCAATTGTGCCTATTTTTGCCGAACTCTTCTCAAACTCTCAATCAACACGATTTATCGCATATCGGCGCACTCACAACACAAACACATACATGCACATGCATGCACACATACGTTTTCACATGATATACATACACACATCGTTTTAACAAATCCGGTTTTTATCATCTCAATGAAAAACGGTAACTTTTTTTTTTTGTAAACGATTGCAAAAATGAGTAATTATTTTCAAACAATTGGAAAAAATTTTTTAGTTAAATCTAGGTATGAAAAATGATAAGACTTCATGTATGAGGTCTTATCATTTTTCATACCTAAATTGATAGACTGATATGATGTATTCATATCAGTGTCAAATTTTCTGCGTAAGCATAATAGACACTCATAATTAAGGTGAATATTGATCAGAAAAGTGCGAAAGCTAAATCATATTGTTTGGAAAAGATGAAAATAAAATTTGATGCTAGAGTATTTAGTGAAGTACTTAATGGCATGAAAGTTTTATATTATTTTGTGATGTAATCTGTTAAGAATAAATATTCCTCAGTGTTTCATCTATATCATCTCAATTTCTCTCGGTTCAGCCCAGGAATGAAAAATATTAGTTGTAAATTATCGAAGCCGAAGATAAAATTGTTCATATATTGAAATTATTTATAAAGCATCGCAAACAAAATTAATGGATATGCCAAATTATCATATAAATTTTATCTTAAAATATTAAAAATGTATAAAATTGTCTGACACCTTCTTCATAATATCGAAAATGTCATAAATCAAATATTATCAAAATTATATTATTCGCGAAATAATATTCCCTTCTCTTTGTGCCAGATTCTCATGAAGTGTATATATCTAGAATTTCCGAACCCTTTAGGGTTATTGTTCTTAATGGCATGGAAAATTATTGCCTATTAAAAAAAATCAACCTATTTTTCGGTATTACTTATGCCGTTCAGATAGCTGAATTATTGCTTGTCATTTGTTATTTTACGCAAAATTGTATTGAACAATAAAAATTATTAGAATCATAAATTAATTAATAATTTATTTTAAAACAAATTAAAACCATACGTTACCTTCTTTGCATGAAATCTTTTACTATTATAATTGAGAGATAAATAAAATTTATTTTTTTATGGCAACGTATAAATCATGCAAATTGTAGAAAAAAGAAAAGTATTGGGGGTGAAAGGAAAGGATAATAAAGGAATGGAGAAGAGAAAGGTCATAAACATTGTAATGGCCCAATATTTTAATAGGAACATAAAGCCAATGGTGGTGTTAAGAACATATAAAATGCCTTATACGATAATTTATCTCAACTAGTTGATGCGATAGTTGTAACTAACAGTTACCGCCATTGCAGCCGGCTAACATTTATAATCATCGCTGGAACAAAATTTCTATTCTTCAAATTTTCAAACTATCAACTAGTAAGTTTTTATTTTATTAATGAGCATTTGTAACAACTCATTATCACTCATATCCTTTTTATCCCTTTGTTGCACTAACCTGTTCATGCTGTTTTTGTTTATGCTATTATGTACCACAAAATAATTAGAGGACTCTCGAAATACTTTCATTTCATTGAATTCCTTAATAATAAGTAACTGTTACTATTATGGTCATTACCAATCATATCAACTTTTGAGAAAGTTTTATGTTTAGCTAGAAGCTAAATAATCCTTGATCATACTATCGACATCGTAGCTCAGGAAGAAGTGATAAAACACAAGTATCATCACTATCATCATTTTTTATGAAAGCAATGATGATAAAGAAAGATAGCAAACGATGCTACACGATGATTTCGATTTGTCATGAGTTGATATGATAAAGATAACTGATTAATATTGGAGGGGTTAAATGTTTTTCAAATGGGATAGGGCACAAATTAGACGAAAATGCTAAATCTAAAAAAGTATACCTGCAAGGATTCTGAAATGAACAAAACATCGTTGTAGTAGGCAGCTCAAGTTATTTTCATCCGAAATTTGTGATTATTATTTAATGAATCATTAGACAATTAGCAAATGATAAGCATACATTAATCATCCAAAGTAACTTAAAATTCATTTCTAAATTCTCATTTTGAAATACAACTAAAACATATCTTACCTTAAATATAGGCCATCAAACAATGAGATATATCAATCAATCTGACAAGATATATAGCATCTATTTCTTGTATAATTATCATCGCTTTATGAAACAAATAAACAAACAAACACACACACACACACACACATATATATATACACATATACATGCACACATACATACACAGACAGCGATATGCGCAAAGCGTAAATTGCTTCTGCATGTGTACACTAATAAAAATTTCAGCATGAAGAATAGAGAGAAAGAAAAGATGAATGGTTCGAGACAAAATGTCGACAAACAGCAAAGGAAAGAATGGCAATAGCTGTATGTGCGGCATAAAATAGGCGTGGCTTTATCATATCTAATACACGTGAATGGTTATTGGCCTACCATTTCCATGAACCAATCAAATAAGAGCAATATTAAATAATCAAAATGAGGAAGAGAAAAAGAGAAAGTTGTGATGATAATTGTAATAGAAATCATGATATTATATCAATAATAGTAATAATAGTAATCATTGTATTGCAAAATAATTGCTAATTTTTTTCATACAAGAAATGATATTGCATATATTTATGTTTATTTATTTCACAAAATGAAAAAAACCATTTTTTGGAGTAATTAATTTTCAAAAAAAATATAAAATTTACTATTAACTTTTTGCAATTTATGCATAAATTTTTGTGAATAAACCAAATTTACGTCAAATTTTTTTGTTAATTAATGAAATTTTGAAAATTTTATTCGATTAAATTTGCAGTTTGCATATGCAATAAACATTTTAAGCATACATTTAATGTTTTAGAGTTAATTGCTATCTTAAGAAAAAATTTAAAATAATTAAACCTTAATCTCTTATGAAATACTGAACAATGAAGATTGAATGATTTTATCTCTGTCATGATAAGAATAATCATCTAACTAGCCCATCATTGAATTGGAGTGCCAGGTTGAATCGAATCGGCCATAGTAAAAGCTATGTAAATTTGATTTTCTTAATGAGAATAAATTGAGTATTGTAGTCAAAGATTTCTAGTCCTTCCTCACATTTCATTTGCAAATTGAGCTTAACTATCTTACATTATGATCAAATCATCTGCATGAAATGTTTTTAATAATAATGAAAAAGTTCCTAAAAAATGATTCTGAATTTTATCTCTTACAATTATAGGAAGTAATACGATAGCAAACGATTTCTAAATCCTTCCGAAATAAAAGAGTTGCAAAAAGAATCAGTAGTTTTGTCATAATTTATCAAAATCAATTTCTATTCCAAAATTTCAGAAAATTTTCTATGGTACAAATTTTTTTAAAACAAAAAGAAAAAAACCATCGTCGCTCCTTTTGTCTGCCCATCAAGATAATTTAAATATTTATGACAGTTACTGATGCAGAGCATCAGAGGGCAATAGACCTGTGTAAGACGTAACTCGTCGACAATCAAATTGTTTAATCAATCGAATTTTAGATGAATTGCTATAGGAATAAAAACTGTTACATATTTTATTGATTTCTATTAATATTATCAAAAATGAAGTAAAGAAAGAATGGCAAACACTTCTTAGAGAGGACTTTTATTGGTAATTTTATTAAGCAAATTTTCGATCTAACGTTTGAATCGATCCATATCTGTCTCAAGCTGGCACTACTATTGAAAATCGTTACAGTTTAATGACACTAATTAAAATTGTTCAACAGCTGAAGCTAATAAAAATATATAACTTTGGAAACTGTTGTGATAACCTTTTGATACCTTG